TAACAAAAATTTAAGGTCATTTTAGTCACACTTATGTATAGTCATAAAAAAAAACCAAAGACCTCGAAGAAAATTACAGAGACCAAAGAGTCACTAACTGTTCATTCATCGGACAATCTTAAGTATTTAAGCAATTTTTGTTGGTTGCTATGGTGATATAACATGAAAAAAAAAACTATGTCTTTCTTTCATGATCCAATGCCGTTACGTCCTGAATGCTCCGACAAACTCCCATCACTGTTTACCCTGGTTTAATTCTGAGCCAGTTAAGAAATTAAAAAGAAAATAATTTGAAAACCAATTAATTTGATATAGCCAATCCTAAACCCTGAGCAACATTTTGTTTTAAACACAGTGAATAGTGCTTCCACCATCGGTTCACTTACGAAACAAGCGCTCTACACCACAATCAAACGTGTGTTCTCTCTTCCTGTTGCGATTTTAAAATAAGTCTTGTCATAATTCGACTTGCCCATAAACAGACGATTAATTGTAATTATCCCCCTTATCAAAATACTTTTTTTTTTTGTTGCTGTCTGGGACAGCGGTTCTCAACCTGTGAGTCGTGACCCCTTTTGGGGTCGATCGACTCTTTCACGGGGGTCGCCCAAGACCATCGGGAAACACATATACTCTACCATTATATGGTATCAACGAAAAAAAATTTGTTGTTGAGGTTCGCCACAACATGAGGAACTGTATTAAAGGGTCGCGGCATTAGGAAGGTTGAAAGCCACTGGTCTAGAAATAATTAATTGCATTTATTCTCATGGCCCTTTTTAGATATAGGGTTAAAAATTTAGAATGTCTTCATATGAAACATTCCGTCCCGCAAAAACGGGAGAACCGCCAAGAAAACTTGGTGGTGTCCACAAGGGTCTTGCCCCTACGCGACGTGGCGGTCTAGCAGGGTGGAACCGACCACTCGAGGCTAAAAAACCTAGGCTCATGGCCATGCCCAGACCATATGGCTCCATGGGCTAATGGGGGTGGTGACGCATAGACAATTCCCCAAAGAGAGGAAGTTTTCGTCCAAACCCAAAACTTATGGCAATAACAATTCCATTTTTAACGCAGGTCGTTGCATCGACCTTCATGAACCCCTGCTTATCACTGTCGGGGGCAGGGTGGTCGCAAGTAGGACTACTTTTGAGATGTTCGGGCAACATCCCTCCCCCCCCCCACCGATGTCCGCAAGGGAAAGCGGTCCCCACTTGCACGTAAGACGCACGAAAGGCATGCGCAAGGCCAACAAGTGACCGATCGTGACCGAAAGGGTACGAAGGTCCATCCTGAACAAGCCCTGGTGGTACTACAGTTGAATGTGTGTGGGATCAGGCAGAAGTTGCCCTCACCTAGTAATCTCTTAGAGATTACTCCATCCGAGTAGCCATCCGGACCCAGTTGAAAAAAGAAGAACGAGCCTCGATGTGGAGATAGAGGCATAACTGATTGCCCTAAAGAGAGTCCACCAACGCCAAGCAAAGAGAAAAATCTTTCCGGACATCCTGGTCTTCACCGACTCACGCTGAGATCTCGAGCATGTGGGGAGGGGGGGGGGGGTCTCTGTGGAGACCACGATGTGAAAAAAAGAGAGTCCACCAACGCCAAGCAAAGAGAAAAATCTTTCCGGACATCCTGGTCTTCACCGACTCACGCTGAGATCTCGAGCATGTGGGGAGAGGGGGGGGGTTCTCTGTGGAGACCACGATGTTAAACGCCATTCTGGAGACAGTTGATAGCATCCATGCCTGGAGACAGTTGGTAGCATCCATGCCTGGAGACAGTTGGTAGCATCCATGCCTGGAGACAGTTGGTAGCATCCATGCATGGAGACAGTTGGTAGCATCCATGCCAAAGGTGGTTAGGTAATCCTGCAGTTTATCCCTGAGCCCCTTGAGGTGACGCAACACGACAGGGCGGACTTCTTAGCCAAAGAAGGCGCAGCCCAGCCGCTTCCCGAGAAACCCATGACTCAGCTGGGAGTCACAGCTTGGTTAAAAGACCACTTGCGTGAAAAGACCACTAAGCGATTGGGCTGCAGGAGAAATAGGACAGCAGCGTTATCGGAAGATGCAGCGGCCGAGCAAAAGTGACCCCTGGTGGAAACTAAAGAGAGGCGACCAGAGCCTCATCACCCAGATGAGGACAGGCCATTGTGCGACACGCAGCTACCTCCACAGACTTGACGACAGGAGGGAACCAAACTGCCGATATTTTGGCCAGGCAGAAGAGACGGTGGCTCACTTGGTGATTGCTTGTCCCGGTGCTGGGAAGGGGGGGGGGAGTCCTGCCTTGAAGATATCATTTACGCAGATGCCCACCAGATGAGACAAGCCGCCACAATAAGAGAGTAATCGCAGCCCAAAAGAAGATGTAACATATGAAACATCATACGATTAATTAATTTCGTTTCCCCACTTACTGATAGATTCCCATTGAATGTTTTTAAAATTATATATAACGTGTGGTAATGAAACAAAAATTTCACATCTATGTCTTGACATGACTTATAATTAAAAAAATATATGCACGATGAATTAAAAAAACTATTTGGATCAATAAGTATCTTAGCTTATCTAATCATGACGATGAAACAATTGTATATCCAATTAAGTTGAGTAGTAAAGAAAATCATGAGTTGGGTTTGGGGGGAAGGAAGTGGTGCGCTAAGACCATACATTGACTGTAGCACCAAAGGGATGGATGGAAGGTCTGTGGAAGGAAGTTGTGAGACAGGCTAAAGCCCTACATGGGCTGTAACGCCACGGAGATGGATGGAAGGTCTGTGTGGAAGGAAGTTGTGAGACAGGCTAAAGCCCTACATGGGCTGTAACGCCACGGGGATGGATGGAAGGTCTGTGTGGAAGGAAGTTGTGAGACAGGCTAAATCCCTACATGGGCTGTAAAGCCACAGGGATCGATTTAATGTACACATCGACTTTTTCTCAATTGATTCTACTTTCGTTATTATGTCAAGGTGACATTTTAACACCAATGCATCTCAATATTGAAGAGTTATTGCCACCGAGCAACCATTATGGTACTCACAAATTTTGTCTTCTTATATTCATTTTTTATTCCTTTTTTTTTTTGTTGTCTGTGCCATTCCTGCTGTCAGATTCATTTTCTCTGTCATAGTCAACCAATGTCACACATTCACTGAATCTATTCTGCCTTTGCCATTCCAATGTCACATTCAGTCACCATTCCGTCGTTGTCTTTCAAATGTCACATTGCTTGTCTCTATTCTGCCTTTGCCATTTCAATGTCACATTCAGTCAAAATTCCGTCGTTGTCTTTCAAATGTCACATTTCTTGTCTCTATTATGTCTTAGTCATTCAGGCGTCATATCCCTTGGCTATACTCTGTCTTTGTCATTCAGATGTCATATCCGTTGCCTCTATTCTATATTTGCCATTCATTGTCTCAGTTCATTATCACTCAACAGCGAAACATACATGCGTTTTGAAAAGAAAGCAGAACCCTCTTGCATGGTGTTTGCCCGTCAATGGTGACGGGGTTATTGACTCTTGCTAGTGCCCCTCCCCCCCTCCCCCCCCCCCCCCGTCTTCGCTGGTGACGGCACAACGTGAAGTTTGTGTAAGTGTAATGACTGCTCTGAATCCCAAGTTCAATGGCGTCGCCAAGGCGGCCATTGTGCAGTTCCTCTTAGGAGCAACAGGCCATTGTGCTAAAATCACATCATCCAGTAATCCTGGTCAAAGAACGGTGGTGCTTTGTGTAACTGCCCAGTGCGCACGCGTGGTTTTGTATGTCAGGTTCAATTTTCGAAATAAATCTGGTTTTCAAAAACTTATGATTTCATTTCATTGGCCGTTGTTATTTTTGTCAGTCAGATATTTATTCACCGTTGTGGTTTAAGATCATTATTTATTCTCTGACAAAGCAAGAGCTGGTTTTGTTAGTTGCAACAAAAAAATAATTAGTGTTAAACAGTTGTCGGAAAATCGCGGCATAGCGAGCCACACGCGGTTTGGACTCCGAAAAATATGGTTCTTGAAAGGTTCTTGACAGTTTCTTGACAGTTTCTTGACAGGTTCTTGACAGGTTCTTGACAGGTTCTTGAAAAGAAATTTGGCTCTCAAACAATTTTTAATCGTCCTGTCGCTGATTTCTGGCTCTTTTGACTATTACGTTTGCCGTCCACTGGTATAAATCATTCTGTTTAAAAATACAGTCGCTGTTTGTCCGCGCGATGACATCATTCCATCTTCAGAAATCGTGCTCCTCCAAGCGTCACTTCCTGTTCGTTCTGTGTTTAACGTTGACCGTGGCGTCACGAAGAGTCCGTGCAGGTTTGGACGATCCCATGTCGTCATGGCGGGAGGCGAAGGCGAGGCTCAAGGAAAAAATACTGAGTCACAAGGTGGCCACGACAAAGATAAGTCCAGTGGATGACAACGTGGTCGACATAAGAATTTTATTTTGGCCAATTCAGGTGAGGGATTATGTTGTCTCTTAGTTTAGAATTTGTGTTATTGATGTATTTTCAATTTAATGTGGTTCGTGCCAGCGCCATCTTTTGGGAACTTCGTCCTCCTCCCACCCCTTTTTGTTAACTAATTTTTAGTAGATTACTTGGTTACCCAGAACATATGACGTCGGCTTATTTGGGTTTAATCGGAAAGTGGTTTCCTCCCGTGGATTAGAGGTGACAACTGGTGTGGACGTTATGACTAATATGAAACGGTTTTGAATTCAAGGCCATGAGAATGTATGTCCTCTGTCTTACGTTCTATGGCCCAGGTATGTTGCAGTATTTATTTAAGTATCCAATATTTAAGAATAGAGGTCAAGTTAAGGGCATTTGCTAAGTTTAAAAAACAAAAAACAAAAAAAAACAGCCAAATAAGAATGGTGTTTACAGTTAAATGTTAAACTTTCTTGTTACCTGTTACCAGGTCCTGGCCATTGATGAACTGCAGCAGTCCGTCTCTACGGTCAGTTATGTGGAGTTGAGTTGGAGGGACAAGGTTCTGGCCTGGGAGAAAATAGATTATGAGAATATCTCGGTGTTAAGCCTGGACTACCAAGAGTGAGTGAGAGTACCAATCATTGCACGATGGTACCGGTCAATACAAGAGAGTACCTGTCAATCTATAATGGTATTGGTTAATATATATGAGGCACCGGTCACTACATCAAGGTTCAGGTCATCACATGAGGGTAGCGATCAATATATGGAGAATTAAAATTTAAAATAACTTCCTTTATATTGGTAATAAATATTAGAAATTAAAATACTAATATTACTGCTAATAATAGATAGTATCAATAGTACTGAATTCAGCTACGGTTGGGCACGGAACGATGAGAGTGAAACATATTGCCGCCCCCTTCCTTGAAATCAACTGTGGTTGACCGGAAATTCCTTCAGTCAGGACCAATTCAGAGTGGCCGAGCGGTCTAAACTGTCTCAAACCAAATAGCTGGTGGTTTTGAATTCAATCCCCAACAAAGCCAACATCCCAAGCACCCCAGGTGGATGGGACTTGTTAGCCTTGGACGGCAACCCATCTCAGAGAAGGCAAGCTCTGAATTCAAACCAGGAGCCAGAATGATCAACACATTGTTCGTGGGCCCCTCAAATAAGAAGAAGAGGAATTCTAAAAAAAAAAGTCATTTCCGGGGTTGACCGCCACTTATACACGCCTCTTTGACGCCTCTTTGTACTCCTTTTTGTACGCCTCTGTGTCGTAAGAAGAGAATCCAACATTCGTTAGGCAGTTCTTGAACCGTCTAAGCGAATGCGCCTGAAAGTACCCAACCAAGAATGAATATTTTGAGTATCAACGAAAAGAATTTAACGCCTCTGCTTATTAGCTAAAATAATTGATCTAGGGGAACGACTATTTCTATGCAACTGTCAAATTGTTAAACAAATTTGCATCTATTTTTGTCATTCATTTGTTCCTTATGTACGTATTGACACAATAATTAACCAATTGAAGACATCTAAGATCTGTTTCCTCCCAGCTTGTGGCACCCCAACATGGTCATCTCAAACTTCGCCCACGAGGATTCCTACATGCTGCACGGGAACGATCGCCTCCTGCTGGATGACTCTGGACGCGTACACATGACCTTTCAATTTTTCTCAAGGACGAATTGTAACCTGGATTTCACCAACTATCCCTTTGACAAACAGGTGATTTGTTATAGGAACAACGTGTGACTTTTTTTATGACAAACACGAGACTTAAGGTTTGCCAACTTTATTATTATAGTCACCAACTGTCGACTTTCTGTAAAGAACGGGGGCTTCTTGTCCTTATATATTAGGCAAGTGGATAACTTTGTATTTGACTAATTGATGGCTTTATACTTGACTTATTTGTTACTGTATAACTGAACGAAATCTGATTGAAATGGTCCTACACATGCCTGCCTTCTAGCCTCAAAAATGTCGGCTTCACACACTGGTAGTGATACATCTTTACTAGATACGCCTCACAGTACCCACACAACTATCATTGTGCCCTCACAAAACTACCATTGTACACAGACAAAACTATCACTGTACACAGACACAACAATCATTGTACCTGGGTTCAACTATCACTGTAAACCAGACATAACTATCAGTGTACACAGACACAACAATCATTGTACCTGGGTTCAACTATCACTGTAAACCAGACATAACTATCAGTGTACACAGACACAACTATCATTGTACCTGGGCTCAACTATCACTGTAAACCAGACATAACTATCAGTGTACACAGACACAACAATCATTGTACCTGGGTTCAACTATCACTGTAAACTAGACATAACTATCAGTGTACACAGACACAACAATCATTGTACCTGGGTTCAACTATCACTGTAAACCAGACATAACTATCAGTGTACACAGACACAACAATCATTGTACCTGGGTTCAACTATCACTGTAAACCAGACATAACTATCACTGTACACAGACACAACAATCATTGTACCTAGGTTCAACTATCATTTTACCCACGCATAACCATCATAGCACGCTAACACAACTATCCTTGTATCAGAAACAAATATCACAGTACGCCAGACAAAACTATGACGGTACCCGGTCACAAATATCATATACCACGAAACAGCTATCACTGTACCCAGACACAACTATCACTGTACCCAGATACAACTTTCACTGTACCCAAACACAACTATCACTGTACCCAGACACAACTATCACTGTACCCAGATACAACTATCACTGTACCCAGATACAACTTTTACTGTACCCAAACACAACTATCACTGTACCCAGATACAACTATCACTGTACCCAGATACAACTTTTACTGTACCCAAACACAACTATCACTGTACCCAGATACAACTATCACTGTACCCAGATACAACTTTTACTGTACCCAAACACAACTATCACTGTACCCAGACACAACTATCACTGTACCCAGATACAACTATCACTGTACCCAGATACAACTTTTACTGTACCCAAACACAACTATCACTGTACCCAGACACAACTATCACTGTACCCAGACTCTACTATCACTGTACCCAGACTCTACTATCACTGTACCCAGACTCTACTATCACTGTACCCAGACTCTACTATCACTGTACCCAGACTCTACTATAACTGTACACAGACTCTACTATCACTGTACACAGACTACACTATCACTGTAACCAGACTCTACTATCACTGTACCCAGACTCTACTATCACTGTACACAGACTCTACTATCACTGTACCCAGACACAGCTATCTTTGTTCGCACTATGCTTTTAATTCTTGCAAAATAAAACTTTTTTTTTTCAGCTTTCTCATAAAGGTCCTAATTTTATTGGGTGCTGACAGTTGCGAATTGAATATATATTTATTATTTTATGACCAAATAGGTACGTTCCCTTATACTACGAGACTCTAGACCAGTGACGTCGTTAGGGAGTACCTCCCCCGTCAGCACTTACTTTCTTAATGTGAGGGCTGGCATTTCAGCTCGATGTTGAGTTTTATTCATTGCAGGGGTTGGCATAAGGCTTGACCGGCACCAGTGGGGGGGGGGCGGCCTTTGACCTTTGCCCTATCTACCTCACTGCTCCGGAGCATTGATTAATGCTTTGGGATTTAGCCATTCCCCTCCTCCCCCCCTCCCTCCTCTTTGGTTTTGAAAGTCCTATTTATTTAACAATGTTCCTTACCTCCAGGAATGTGACCTCATCGTGTTGCCCTTCCTAGACGAGTGCCAGTTCACCATGACCACGGATAATGCCTCAAACTTAACTGACCCTTTCCAGATCAACGGGGAGTGGTCGATAGAGGCCCGATCGGCGGACACAGAGATGTACACGTGGGGGCAAAAGAGCGTCCCCATCTTGAGGTAGATCTGTCACGTGATTGTGGTGTGGGTCGTGTGGATTTGTTGGTAGGGAATATAATTGTGGTGAGCCACTTGGTGCACACAAATGTACTGTACGATTGGAACGGAAGAGTGGGCAGTGTTAAACCAGGTATGGGAAACCTTCGGCCCGTGGGCCACATGGGGCCCGCTCAAATGTTTGATGCAGCCAGCAAGACCCCTTTTGAACTTAATTATTATTATTTTTTTTTTTTAATATCCTCATCGTGAGAAAAAAATGAAATGATAATTATTTGTAAAATTTAAAATAAAAATAGTAATAAAAATGACAAATAAGAAAAACGCTTATTTTGGAACTTTATTTGTCCTGAGCCCTCCACGCAACAAGGCTGCCCCCCCCCCTTTTCCACTGTGCTGAAAGCAGATGGACAAGGGAGGGGACATGGCAGTTAACAAACTGTTGTTGGGAGGGGGGAGAATAATATCATAGGAGGTGGTAGAAAGCAGTTAGCGGTCGCTTTTTGGGGACAGGTTATCAAACTTTGAATTGCAGGTGGGTCGTGTGAAGGATTGTGTGTAGTAGAGGGAGAACGGTAGGTGGATAGGTGATTTTGGTAGGAGGATAGGTGACAATGGTGGTAACATAGGACACATTGGTGGGGAGATGGGTGAGGTTGGTAGGATAGGTGAGATTGTTAGGACAGGTGATATTGAAACTAGTAGGATAGGGGAAATATGTAGGATAGGTGAGATTGGTAGGATAGGTGAGATTGGTAGGTTAGGTGATATTAACATTAGTAGGATACGTGATATTTGGTAGGATAGATGTGAATTGGTAGGATAGATGAGATTGTATGATAGGTGAGATTGGTAGGATAGGTGCGATTGGTAGGATAGGTGAAATTGGTAGGATAGGTGGCATTGGTAGGATAGGTGAGATTAGTATGATAGATGAGATTGGCAGGTTGGAGAGGGAGATTGTGGAAGGAGTTGGGCTGTGCAGAGTTGTGATCAGAGAAAAGAGGTTATCGATGGAGGGGTATCTTTAAAAAAAAGGAACATTGTTTTGTTCCTTTGTTATAAAGACGTGAGAATCAAAATCCTGTTAACAGTGGCATATGGATTGGGGGGTGGGGGAGGGGGACGATCCACCCCTGGCAGTATTCTCTTTATAGCGTTGGAATGTTCGCCCAGCAGCAGCGTTATTCGTGGAAGATGAGAGACAGAAATCTTGGCCCACCCCCGACGGCACTAACCTACGCCACTGCCTGGCAGGCTGATTAAGTTTAAAGAAAAGGAAAGGGGGGGGGGATGTTATTTCACTCCATCTTGGTACATGGCAAAGTCGCTTCCAGGAAAGCTCTCAGTGTGTGTGGGATTCTGAGCGGGTTTTATTTCACTGTAGGTGTCGTATCTTCAGTAACTAATGCTACGAGTGTATGCCAATCTCTTACATACGGATATTGTAATGCACGGGCCGTGTTGGTCAGTCCTATAAAACTGCTACGCGTCAGCATCCTGTACCGTAAAACTGTACTTGGTCGAATCGCTGCTTACGGTCCCGTACACTTGGCATTGGCCACTAACATCATGCTGCCCCGTACACTTGGCATTGGCCACTAACAGCATGCTGCCCCGTACACTTGGCATTAGCCACTAACATCATTCTGCACGTACACTTGGCATTGGCCACTAACATCATGCTGCCCCGTACACTTGGCATTGGCCACTAACATCATGCTTCCCCGTACACTTGGCATTGGCCACTAACATCATGCTGCCCAGTACACTTGGCTTTGACCACTAACATCATGCTGCCCCGTACACTTGGCATTGGCCACTAACATCATGCTTCCCCGTACACTTGGCATTGGCCCCTAACCTCATGCTGCCCCGTACACTTTGCATTGGCCACTAACATCATGCTTCCCCGTACACTTGGCATTGGCCACTAACATCATGCTGCCCAGTACACTTGGCATTGACCACTAACATCATGCTGCCCCGTACACTTGGCATTGGCCACTAACATCATGCTGCCCCGTACACTTGGCATTGACCACTAACATCATGCTGCCCCGTACAAGCCGGCCTTGATTTAAAAACCAACCAATATATAAATATATGTTAAGATCTTTTGGTCTCTCCTCATCCCGTACGGATTGAAATATCGTACAAGAAATTAAAATTGTTAAACCGTTCTTCGTCACCACAGAGTTAAAATGCTGCTGAGGAGGAGCGTGCTGTTCTACATCATCGCGATAATGATCCCCATGTCCGTGACGTCACTGATGACGTCCCTGGTGTTCTGGATCCCACCGTCGTCAGGGGAGAAGGTCACGTTCCTGGTCACCATCTACGTCTCTACGGCCGTCTTCATCAACTTCTTTTCGTAAGTATCTCCGTAGTAGGGCGTCCCGGGACCCTATTTGTGGTAGAAAATGGTGGACAATGGTGGACAATGGGGGTTGTTGATACAAAAAAACAATGGCCTAATGCCATGACTGGAAACAATAGTTAGGAAGGTGTGCAAACATAACAAAAGAGGAAGTCAATATAAATGAAGAGAAAAATCAATATTGGACAGGGTAGAGGAAGAAGGGATCAGTTCTTTTGCGCTCCAATTTCTTCTAGTCTGTCACCATCACCAGTGGCTTCGTGAGAAAACATGACTGCATGACTTTTAATAAAAGGCTTTCTCTCTTCTCGCCTTTCCATCAAGTGGATGTGTGGATGAAGTATTCATTTAAAAAAAAAAAATTAAAAAAACATATTTTGTACACACGTGACATTTTGAGTTGTGTCGTGCAGTGTTCATCTGGTGAATGGCTGGACGGCGGTCGGGAGTTGACAGTGTCGTTAATTTTTTTTTTTTATTGTTTACCGCGCCTGCTTCTCTGATTGAATGGGTGGGTTGGGGTGGGGGTGGGGGGTGAATTCAGATCTACTTTCTAGTTGTATTGCCTGGGTAAAGAGTTAAGACACTTTAATCGGGATTTTTTTTTTTTTAAAGGAAAATATTTTGTACTTTTATCGATAATTTAAAGATGCAAACTTTAATGAAAAAAAAGTGAGAAAAATTGTAATAAAATTTATTAAAAGAACTCTCTAACGAAGACGAGAGAAAACGCACTAAAAATGAGAAAATAGTTGACAATTTCTTAAAATGCATTATGCTAAGTAAGTCTGTGCAGAAAATATTTTTCAAAATTAACAAAAAAATAATTAATTATATTAAGTTTGGTCTAAATGCAACTTGAATCCTTTGGATTCACAGGGGACTCACCTACACGTCTGTACAATCTTATTTTGTTTTCATAGGGGGCTCACCTACACGTCTGTACAATCTTCTTTTGGTTTCATAGGGGGCTCACCTACACGTCTGTACAATCTTCCTTTGGTTTCGTAGGTGGCTCACCTACACGTTTGTACAATCTTCTTTTGGTTCCATAGGGGGCTCACCTACACGTCTGTACAATCTTCTTTTGGTTTCATAGGGGGCTAACCTACACGTCTGTACAATCTTCCTTTGGTTTCATAGGGGGCTCACCTACACGTCTGTACAATATTCCTTTGGTTTCATAGGGGGGCTAACCTACACGTCTGTACAATCTTCTTTTGGTTTCATAGGGGGCTCACCTACACGTCTGTACAATCTTCCTTTGATTAATATATTTTAAGAAATGTTTCATTGCTTTTTACTTTTAAAGGCGTTTTAACTAGTCTTTGAAAGAAATTCTTGTTTTAACAAGTTTTTCTAAATATACTTTTACAAATTGTTGCATATTTTGCTGGATTTATTCATTTAGTTACAATGCCATTCTTTCTATATCTGAATGGTGTCTAATGAGTGTCTCATTCTGACAGAGATACGATGCCACGAAGCATGTCGGACCTACCCCGGATCACCATCTTTCTCATCACCGTCATGCTTCAATGCTTCTTTGCCCTCATGGCCACTCTGTTCGTCATCCGACGACACGAGCAGGAAGTTCTGGAAGAATCTCGAGAGTCGCTTGACGCCAATGGGAGACATATGGAAGATGACGCGTCTGGTAAAAGAGAAGAAATTGACGCATTGAGCAATAAAGAGATTGACGACCACAGCGGTAAACGAATTGATACCCTGAGCGGTAAAGAAATTGGCGCACTGAACAGTACAGAAATTTGCGAGAAATTGGCTGAGAACAAGAGCCCCCATAAAGAGGGGTTGGGTAGCAAGGGGTCTGGCCCTTATTTCGGGGAATCTGCTATAGGGAATCATAATTTTCCCGACACACAAATGAAGCACGGCGAGCTAGAAGATAACGTTCCTTGTGCTAAAACCAGCCCAATAAAGGTCAAAAGTCAACTCAAAGCCGAGCAATGGGACTTAATTTTTTTCGTCCTATATCACACGGCTACCGTCCCTTGTTTCATCATCATGCTGATCCCGCTGTTCAAGTAGGCCAGTCTCTTGCGGCTACCATCACCTTAATGACCCCTTAGTAGGTCGACACCAATTGTGATAGATGCACAGAACGTATCACTAGCTCGTTTGTAGTGTTGTTTATGCTGTCGTCTGCTCGTTCTTGGAGTGGAAATGTAGCAACAAGTTGGCCTTTTGATTAAATATGGACTGTCTGCGAGATCCCATAATAAGACTGGATGAGAGGGGAGATGGGGGAGTGCCTAAACTATAATCGGACAGTTGAACAAAATTTTTTTTTTATCGAAAATTAAAATTTTAATTTAAATTGTTGTGATCTTATTAAAAAATAAAAGTGTTTTTTTTTTTTTAAATGATGTGTTTTGTTATTATACCGTCAGCTGAAGAAGGCGTCCAGTCGAAGCGTTCGTTTATTTGTGATGTCTATCATTTAATTCTGAACATATCTTTGCTCAACTGTTTATTTTTCTATGTGGTTATTTTTTATAGTTTATCCGGGTGTTTCCATCGAATCTCCTGCAGAGCAGCAACAGTGGTTTCATAACTTATTGATCTTTCAATGAGCAAGTTCAGTGGTTCTTCTTTGTCTGGACTCAGTAATTCCTGGTCTCCATCCATAAAGGATGTCTTTGTCCAGGCATCCATTAATCTCAGACAGATTTAACGAATATGTTGTAGCTTTTTTAATATTGTTTTTTAAAGTATTTTAATGAATTAGATTTGGGTTCCAGCCCTGCTTGAAACAATAGCCATGACAATTGGTGGCTAACGGGGTTCCGCCCTTCGGGTCTATGCTTTGCCTCACCTAAGCCCCTCGCCAAGGACGCCCTTTCGCTCGTGGCATATGCACCCGGAACGTTAGCTTCCGTTGCACTCAAACTTACTAATCTTTTTGACCACATTGAAGTCGAGATTCCCTTAGAGAGAGCACAGACAACTAAAACGAACAAACAAGAAGTCAGTACCAAAAGTATACAATACCTGGTAGAGAAACTGATTGCCGCCCTTGCAAACATGGGATGGATCGTTGGTCCAACATTCACGGGGTTCCAGTCATCCAAAAACTGATGAAGAAACTGCTTGCCGCCCTTGCAAATATGGGATGGATCGTTGGTCCAACATTCACGGGGTTCCAGTCATCCAAAAACTGATGAAGAAACTGCTTGCCGCCCTTGCAAATATGGGATGGATCGTTGGTCCAACATTCACGGGGTTCCAGTCATCCAAAAACTGATGAAGAAACTGCTTGCCGCCCTTGCAAATATGGGATGGATCGTTGGTCCAACATTCACGGGGTTCCAGTCATCCAAAAACTGATGAAGAAACTGCTTGCCGCCCTTGCAAATATGGGATGGATCGTTGGTCCAACATTCACGGGGTTCCAGTCATCCAAAAACTGATGAAGAAACTGCTTGCCGCCCTTGCAAATATGGGATGGATCGTTGGTCCAACATTCACGGGGTTCCAGTCATCCAAAAACTGATGAAGAAACTGCTTGCCGCCCTTGCAAATATGGGATGGATCGTTGGTCCAACATTCACGGGGTTCCAGTCATCCAAAAACTGATGAAGAAACTGCTTGCCGCCCTTGCAAATATGGGATGGATCGTTGGTCCAACATTCACGGGGTTCCAGTCATCCAATAACTGATGAAGAAGCTGATACTTCGCCCTTGCAAACATTGGACGGATCGTTGGTCCAAAACTCACGGGGTTCCAGTCCTCCATTAACTGATAAAGAAACTGCTTGCCGCCCTTGCAAGTATGGGATGGATCGTTGGTCCAACATTCACGGGGTTCCAGTTATTCAATAACTGATGAAGAAGCTGCTTGCCGCCCTTGCAAACATGGGACGGATCGTTGGTCCTACATTCACGGGGTTCCAGGCATCCAATAACTGATGAAGAACCTGCTTGCCACCCTTGCAAACATGGGATGGATCGTTGGTCCAACATTCACGGGGTTCCAGTCCTCCAATAACTGATGAAGAAGTTGATACGCCACCCTTGCAAACATGGGACGGATCGTTGGTCCAACATTCACGGGGTTCCAGTCCTCCAATAACTGATGAAGAAGTTGATACGCCACCCTTGCAAACATGGGACGGATCGTTGGTCCTACATTCACGGGGTTCCAGACATCCAATAACTGATGAAGAACCTGCTTGCCACCCTTGCAAACATGGGATGGATCGTTGGTCCAACATTCACGGGGTTCCAGTCCTCCAATAACTGATGAAGAAGTTGATACGCCACCCTTGCAAACATGGGACGGATCGTTGGTCCAACATTCACGGGGTTCCAGTCCTCCAATAACTGACGAAGAAGCTGATACGCCACCCTTGCCATAAAATGCAATCGTGGGGCTGATCTTGGTACCGTGGCGGGGGACATTCGATGTGTTCAGGACATGTGTGCAGAACTTGGCGTGTACGTAAGAGGAAATACGTGTACTTAATATAAAGGAAAAATATGTCGTTTATATAAAAGATAAACATCACAATGAAGTCTAGTTTTTTCAAAATAGCTATATGATTTATGCTGCTGAACATGGTATATATTTTGGCACTATGATTTAGTCTGTAAATCCTACATGCAAATTGTTTATAATATGAACGATTCCTCAAAATATCGCTGGGAACGTTAAAAATAGGTCAAAATTTATCCTGACATTCACACTAAATTTGCTAGGATAATGGCCTTTACAGCTGCTGTCATAGATTTTAAATTGTGGTTAAATATAATCAAAACAATAATTCTAGACAAACTGAGAAAAGTTCTTAGCTATTACCCATAAAATGACGAAATCTTTCAAAATTATTGTAGCTTTAATTTCA